CTCTTGCCTCACCAAGAGAAACCATGACTCAGGTTCACCCAAGCAAGGAATTGCCACATGCTGTTCTCTCCCCACCTCCTCCCATATTGCATTCTGCACATGCATACCTCTCAGTCAACATAACCAAAAGCCCTTATTCCACTGTTGTGAACTGTAGCTGACAAGGGAACCCAAAAGTGCTCATGACCTCATAGAAAAGCTCTATGTGATCCTTGTTGTGTACTAAGGATAGCTTCTTTTAATACTTTTAAATTATAAATAAAAATTAAATGGAAGGATTTTTTTTTTCCATTCTGAAACCACTATCAATCTACAGGTACATGCATAAAAAGACTAGAGTCTTGAACTAGAAACAGAAGAACACACCTGGGAACTTTGGACCTGACCCTGTTCTTGTGGAAATTGGGGGTAGGGGAGGGGCAGGGAATATCAGTAGAAATTTGGCCCTCGACTTGAATGCAAGCAGGATCAGGTTGGAGCACAAATGTGGGATTTGCCTTCACCCTAGCGTGAAACTGGACCAAAAACCCAAAAGGTAAAACACCTGTAAACAGAAGCAAGTTTGAATACATTCAAAGATGAATTCTGAAGTCCACAACCAACTGTAACAGCTATGAATGAATAAAGATTTCTACTGAAAAGGACTTAACAGTTCTCAACTGGTTGTTCCAACAAGGAGATCTGCTTGGCAGGATGTGTAGTAAATCATATACTACTGAAAAGGCTGAGGAGTAAATGGCAACAGGTGCAGATAATGCAGTGACAGCATTTTCTTTCCTACCCTCAATGATACTGATTTCAAGGAATAAAATGGATTAAGTGACCAAGTACTATAGATTATTTTTTATTCTGTGTCTTCAGTGAGATAACACGATGTAAAACCGACTCTCTTGTACTTTCTTTCCTTGGATATTTAGAATATACACATAGTGTGTGAGGTCCCTTTAAGGATAAGGCTGCATTTCTTCTCTTCATTCTTTCCCTTTTCTCCCTTCATCAACTTCCTTTCTTCCAAGGGTGTTTCCTGCCTCTGGTTAGTGCTGCAATGTTGGATTCTTCCCTCTGCAGCAGGGCTGTGCAAAGCTTCGGATCATGATTTGGATTTGGAGATGATTTGGACAATTTGGAGGCTGAATCTATGAATCTGAATCGAATCACTAGAAGCTTTAGCCTTTCTGAATTGATTTGGAAGCTCCAAATGAAACCTGCCAAGTTTCAAGTTGATAGGTGTGGGGGTTTCTGGGAAATTGCACCTCACGCTTCTGACAAGCAAAACTCATGACATGGGTGACCCTGTGTGTGTGTGTTAAGGCACAGGGGCGTGAAAACTGCAGGGGTGGTAGCCCCTGCTGTGGCCACAAAGCCTGCCAGCTGTCAAGGAGCTCGGTGCAGGGAAAGACTGGTCAAGGAGATAGGTGCAGGGAAAGTCTGGGTTCTGGGGCCCTGCACCTCTGGCCGCAGGCAGGCAAAAACTCACAACATGGGTGCTTGTGGGACTGTGTGTGTTCAGGTGTGCCCTTCCTGGTGCTGGGGCCTCTGCACACCATGGCAGTGTGCCCCCATGAGGCCTCCTCCTCCCCTACAGCCTTCGTCCAATCTATCACTGTAAATGACGGCAGGTCAAAATAACTTAGCTGGCTCAACACCAATAGCACCAGCAGTATCAAAGGTAAATAAAAGAATTGACAGCAAGAAGTAAAGATGTTGTGTTGGATATATGTTACTCGTGGTGTGTGATGGCTTATCTTGTGTTATGTTTATTATGAAAAAACCTGAAATAGTTAGAAAAATATATCTTAGGAAGCTTTTGGGTTGAAAAATCCTTTGTCAGGCTGAGGAAGTACTTGCACTTGATGCGTCTCCCAGTCCTAGAGAGAAGGAATAGTAAAGAAGCCAGAGGCTGGCCTGGCATGCAATGCAGGCAAGAAAGCCAGTCAGTGAAAATGGAAATGGAGGTGTCAGAGGGTGAGGGACAGGCTGGGATGGAGGGGGAGGGGATGAAAGGGGGATGTAGCAGCGCAGGTAGAACTACAGAGGTACCTGGCGAGTCAGATGTCCCAAGTTTTTCCTGCTTGCAGCCAGAGGTGCAGGGCCCCAGAACCCAGACTCCCCCTGAAGTTTTCACCCCCCTGTGCCTTAACACACACACAGCGTCACCTATGTCATGAGTTTTGCTTGTCAGAAGCTTGAGGTGCAGTTTTCCAGAAGCCCCTGCACCTATCAACTTGAAACTTGGCAGGTTTCATGCCCCAGGCAGCAGCTACCCATCTGTGCAAGTTTCATCTGAATCAGGCAAAAAACAACAAAGTTATAGATATTTCATTGATTCCCCATTATACCCTATGGCCGGATCGTCAAATCACCGAATCTTTTCCAAATTGAATCAGAAAAGCGATTCGGATGTCCAAATCAAATTATGACACATTATAACCTGCCTGACATCGGACTCCCCAAGTATCTCTCCACTTTCATCCCCTTCTCTCCCCCCCCTGCCCACCTGTCTCTCACCCATTGACTCCTCAATCTACATTTTCACTGAGTACCTGTCTTGTATGCATACCAGCCCAGCCGCTGGCTTCTTTTCTTTTTATTCCATCCCAGAAAAGCACAAACCAACTAACTGCTGAAACTTCCTTAGTCTGATGAAGGGTTTTTGAACCCGAAAGCTTGCTTAATAATTATTTTCCAACTATTTGGGTTGGTCTAATAAAAGATATCAGATTCACCCAAGGAACCTTGTCTGGTTTAAATTAGGCATTAGCCCTTTGGCAAGCAGACAGCAAAAAAAGTCATTGCTCACATGAGCAATTGCTGTAGTTCCCAGAACAAAATTATGGGATAGCAAATTGGAGGAAGTAGCTGCAATGCTAGTGAATGGAACAAAAGGTATCCATTTGCTGGAGCAGACAGCAAAAAAAGTCATTGCTCACATGAGCAATTGCTGTAGTTCCCAGAACAAAATTATGGGATAGCAAATTGGAGGAAGTAGCTGCAATGCTAGTGAATGGAACAAAAGGTATCCATTTGCTGG